TTTAAGTGATCAGAAACTGGTTTAAACCTGTAACAGAACAGAAGTGCAGTGCACTTAAACTACTTTCAAAATGGCTGAAACTGGTTTAAGGTAAACCTGGTAGAAGGAGTATCAGACTTAACTGATTAACTCAAACCAATTTATAGAACTTCTGTCGCAGATCCCCTTCCTGGTTCAAGTTACCTCACAATCCCCCAGCATCCCATGATGCTTTGCAGCCCTGGGCTGTGCTGTCTGCTCCACTAAGCAGGGTCTGCCCCACCTCTGTGCTCCCCAGCAGGATATCACTCCTCTAGGTGGCTGAGCAGGGGGTGGGGGAAAAACAGAGCAGGCAGCTAGGAGCCACACTCCCTTCTTAGTCTCCAGGCTGGCTGAGTGGAGGGCATGCGTTCCAGCTGTGGGAGGGTGGAGCCAAGGCTCCCACTGCAGGCTTCCCACTCCTCCCAGCCAGCCCAGAGGCTGAGAAAGGGGTGTGGTTCCTGGGTCTGGGAGCCAAGCCCCCCCCTTCCCTCCTCAGCCCTCTTGGAGGCTGAGAAGGGGGAGTGACTAGGGGACTCCACCCTCACTCCCAGCTCTGTGGGGGGCAGAGCCAAACCCTGCTGTGGGCTTCCCCCACATCCAGCTGGAGGCTGAGTGAGCATGGTTCCTGGCTTCCAGCTCTGGGGGCAGAGCCAAGCCCCGGCTGTGTGCTTCCTTTCTCTCCCTCCCCTCAGCCAGCTTCAGGCTGAGGAGTGGGCATGGCTCCTGGCTCCAGGGGCAGAGCCAAGCTCAGGTGCAACGTTTTCTCCCCCACTAGCTTAGCTGGCTGGGAGGCTGAGAAGGCGGTGTGGCTAGGATATTCTAGCCCTGCTCCCAGCTGGCAGGGAGGGGGCAGAGTAAGTCCCCCGGTTTCAGCTCTCCCCACCCCTCCAGGCTGTTCCCAGTTGGGGGTCCAGTGCTAGGCAGGAGGGGCTGGTTTTTCTCTCTCCAGCCCTTGCTCAGCTGGCAGGAAGACTGAGGAGGGGATGTAGCTTGGGGAATCAGAAGGCTCTGGCTCTCTGTAGTAGCCAGCAGACTGGGAGATGTGTTCCAGCACAGCGCCGGGTCTGGCTGCCTTTTGTTTGAAAAGTGAACATCAGTTCACTTGATTATTGGTTCAATCTATGCAGTTTAAAAACCCTGCAAAGATCAACTCAATTCAGCCTCAGGCTTTTTGACTGTCTGTACATAATCTAAAGTAAGCCTATTTTTCATTGGAGAAACTCGCCCTCAGAATAGCCAGTTCAGACCCAGACATAATAGGGCTTACAGAAACTTGGTGGGATTCATCCCATGACTGGGCAGTTAGCATTAGGGGCTATAGGCTTTACAGGCGGGACAGAGAAGGAAGGAAAGGCGGGGGTGTGGTGCTCTATGTCAAGGAGCAATACACATCCTTGGCCAGCAAAATGGGGTCAGAGGGGCAAATGGAAGTTCTCTGGGTCAAGATACAAGGGGGCCGTGGGAGAGGGATCCAACGGTAGGGGTCTATTACAGACCCCCCAACCAAGGGGAGGAGCTGGACCGGAAATTTTTGAGCCAGCTTGCAGAGGCACTTAAGGCAAGGGATGTTGTTGTCATGGGTGATTTAAATTACCCGGACATCTGCTGGTAGGAACAGTCAGCCAGGTCAGACCGTTCCAGGAGGTTCCTGGCCGAGATACAGGACCTCCACTTAATTCAGGAGGTGCACAGTCCCACCAGAGGAAATGCCCTGTTGGACCTGGTCCTGGCCACAGGCAACGACCTGGTAAGGGGCCACCAGGTCCTTGACCACCAGGGTGATAGAGATCATCGCTTGCTGGAATTCACCATCCAGCACAGGGTATCATGGGTCTGCAGCAAGGTGGTAGCCCTAGACTTCAAGAGGGCCAACTTCAATGAGTTGAGATTAGTGGGAGAGGCGCTGGGGTTCTCAAGAGCAGGGGAGCTCAGTGCCCAAGATGAGTGGTCGTTCCTTAAGGAGACGATACTCAGGGCCCAAGGGGTGACCATCCCAACAA